TTCTGGCCCATCCGTACCCTGTGAACCTGAGCACCGGCACAGACCTTGCCACAAGAGATTCACAGGCACCGGCATCCATGGTGAGCCCTCCCACACCTGTAATCCCTGGCGCGCTCCCCCTTTCTTCAGCCGGGGTCGGCGGATATATATGTGTAAAAAGGGCTCCGGGAGTCGGACTCAGCATCGCTATGTCGTTGCAGGCTTCATAAGTCCTTGCCTGGAGTGCAACTGGTTCTACGAGGCTTGCCACAAGTGCCAGAGGCAGGTCTCCACGCACTGGATGAATGTTCAGATGCCATTTCTGCGGACGCATTCCTTCATTCCACCAGCTAAAAGGAACCTGCGCGCCTCCGCGCAGGGAGAAAGCCTGGGAAGGCTTTTGCTGCAGGAAATCACCGAACAGTTGAAGAAGGTGGCTTGGGAACTGTGGGAACTTGGCCAGCTGAATCGGCAATGGGACATTTCTGCAGACACCACCACCTCTTCTTTTGCCGTCTTGAATGAAGAAGTGGCTGGTAGGTGGGTGATACCTGGCGTTTGTCCTCGACAGTGCTTGGTGGTTTCGGTGCGGGTGGCACTGCTGCCCTCTTGGGGCTTCTCTATCCACAGTTGGCAGGCATCGTGTTCCTTGGATGCAAGGGTTATGGTTATGGTTGCACCATGGGCTCAGTCTTCAAAAGCTTCGGAAGAAGAACCAGACCGGGCCAGACGAACAGCGTCTTAGAAAAAGCATGTCTGGGCCTCCCATGTGGACGGAGGAAAGAAATGAGTCGGATTTCAGGCCTTGTGAAGCAGTTTCGCACGTCTCTTGTTCGCTTGGTATTCTAGGTCCTGTTCTGCTTTCCTTGCCGATGGCTTTCCCGAGCAACAAGTCACTTGACCCGGAGGAAACTCCTTTGTGGCTTGTGTGGAGTTTGACAGGTTTCTTCAAGCAATGCACACAGTGGCATCAGGATTCATCAGGATTCACTTGATCAGTCTGCTTTTTTCAGTTTGCTTCGATCTTCAACGCCCTAGGCAGAACCTGGAACGGACAGCCTCATCCTCCTCACGCATGGAGTCGAGGATCAAAGAACCTCCTGCAGCTCAAACTGGGAGTGCAAGAAAAAACAAACCCAGCAGTTTTCATATGTTTTCATAATGTAATAATACAAAATCATATATATATATATACACATACTCTACTGTTTCTTCTGCTCCTCCGTGCTTGTTCGTTAACTACTCGGCCTTTGTAGGGAGTTTCTCCACAATTCAGATGCACCAGATGGCAGGACAAAGTGGTGCCTATCGATGCCGCAAGGCATCAGTGGCGTAGCTTAGAGACTTATGGCTATCGAGGAGAAGCATGGCTCAATGGACAGAGTGTTTGAAATCGACCAACATGTCTAAACGAATTCCCTCGTGAACAGGGCGAGTGCTTTGCCTCAGGATTTGTTTGTGTGTGCGTGTGAATTATGCCAAAACTCAGAGATAGTTTCAAACAACTTTCTTGTTGGACCAGGTGCCCAGCTCAGTGTAGAGCAGGGATGGCTGAAAGAAAAACAACTGTGGAAAGAGAGTGGTTCATGGAGAAAGTGCAATGGTTCATCTGGTTCATTTGCAGTAGACGACTGGGTCAAAGAGAAGGGGTGCTTCAGGGATTGATGATCAATTATCACCAACGGAACGGGGGAAGACTCGGAAGACTGCTGATACCGTCGGCAGTCGAAAGCCACTGCGCAGCCTAGGTCACCTGCAGCCCGTTTCGAGAGCTTGGGCATGAATTCAATATGGACGTGTGGGACACGGTCATTGAATTTGTTGAGGCTGCACTTGATGCTCCAACAGGAACCATCGTATCAGCAGTGCCAAAGGGCATGTTTGAGGAGTAAACCGTTTGGTTGGCGGAAGACCACAGCGAGTTGGTGGCTGGATTGGTTGATCTGCGTGTACAGCACTGGCCCAAAGCGGCCATGGCCGCGATCGAAAACCAAGCTGCTTCACGACGTCATGAGAGCTTCGTCAGTCCCTTTCCCGAGGGACTGACAGTCATGTTACATGTTTGCCAAGGTCTCTTCCTGCTGTTGGACATCGATGATCAAGGTAGCGACTGATCGAACCCGGTGTTTTTGGAGGTGTCTGTGAGCTCTTGGAGCCTGAAATTCGGTCTTGGAGCCCTCCGTGTTCTTCCATGCCTTCCCTGTTTGCCATCAAGCCTCACATAGCAAACACGCCACTGAGCTGCGACCAACAGATTCCTTTCCGAAACCATCCGAAACCTTGAAAGACTGGGCTTTTAAATTCAGCCATCCTTGCGATCGGATGAGTTGCCTCAACCAGCGCACCCCACCTTCCCAGCAAAGCTCTCAACATGAGTAGTTGGCCCACGGCGGATAGACGGCCGTGGGCTTTTCTTACATTTTTTTGATATTTTGTTTTCTACAGTACTACGTGTGGGACTCTTTTTTGGGGGGGGGTGGGGGTGCGGCTAATTAGCACACCTGCGGCGTAGCATGCTATCTACTCCAGTTTATTTTCTTGCGGGTTACGTTCGGTTAGACACTGCATCCTTTTTTGCTGAGTTCAGAGATGCCGCAACCTTTGTTTCTTTTTCTTGGTGCGTTTCGTTGATTCTTTTGTTGCGCATGGGGGGTTTTGTGGACGTGGACGAGGTACCCCTGGTTCTTCGACCTTGGTTTCGTGTTCACCCAGGTTATCTGGACGACTTGACTTTGGTTTGGAGTAAAGTTCGTGGTGGGGATTCTTTGGTTGGTTTGACCCTCGAAATAGTTTTGGACCAGGACCGTTGGTGTTTGGATTTTCAGGGTTTGACGGACTACTCAGAATTTTTGTGGGGCTTGTGGCTAGCAGTGTGGGAACATTATCTATCACTCCAAAGAGCTTGTGGGGTTTGACCAAGCCATCACTCCAAGTCGTTCTATCAGATATCAAAGGACACATTATCATTCGTGTATATGACTCCCACCGCTTGGAGCAGCTCCTGTGAAGAGTGAAAGTCGCACAAAAGTAGTTGCGTAGTTTCGAAAATGCTTGGAAGTCGCCACTTCGCCTCAGCAAAACTCTGATTTTATCGGAATCTGCATGGAAGGCACCATGATTCCAATGATGAATTGTCGCTCACATCGTTCCTAATGGAATTACGCATATTTAAGATTGATTAACCCACGACCATCCTTCATTACCCCACGGCCGTCTATCCGCCGTGGACCTAGTTTCGTGTCCTGGCTTTTTGGCTGGCCAACCAAAACCAACCACAGGCGTGCGAAGCACTCTAAGACTCTAAAAGCGCAAGCACATCACCGTTGCCCGCTGTAAATCCAGTCAACCCATGTCAACCCAACGAGTTCCTTCTCGCTCGTTCTTTGTACTTTTCGTCGGAGGCTACATCGATGTGGAGGAGTTCATTGCTGGATGCTGTCGGATTCATGGTCCTGCCAAGGTCCCAGCCTCAGGGAGAAAATCCACACGTGGCGCGTTTTCCCGCGCGACAGTTTGTCCGCGGTGGATGTCTTGATGTCGAGAAAATCGAGCGAAGGGGTCTTTGGGCAGGCCATTGATCTCACCACCCTCATGTGTCAGGCGAGTTGGGCTGTTTGTATTTGTTTGTTCTCGCTGTTTGCAGGGCGCACCAGACGTGGGGGGTTATCCCACGTCTTGCAGCGGCAGGTCCGAAAGCTTCATATGGAGCTTCGTGAACATGCGCTTTGGGTCGTGGACAGCACGATGTGATTGCTCACACTTCAAGCCCACTCGTGGGTCCAAAAACAAAACATTGTGTGGCATAGGATTTTCTCACGGCATTTAAAGGCTCGTTTCGCAGTGCTTTGTGAGGAGTGCATGACAATGGCTGGATTTGCATCCCCGGCCAGATTCCAAGGAACATGGGTTTGTTCCAAGTGTAAGTGTAGACAGCTTGACCTTTCGGAATGCAGTACGTCATTCCAGATAATTGACCTAGGCCAGCACCTTCCAAGGCCAGGAGGGTTTGAAAGCAGCCTGCTGTAGCCTGCTACGCGACAAGCGTGTGGGGTGTGGTTCCTTAAAGGATCTTCAAGGGCATAACACCAGGGACCTTTTTCCAAGTGCTTTTCCATGTGTTTCCTCCAACTCTGCTCCAGCTGCTTTTCCTCCGGATCGACGGTGATGGGCTCATCGGATGCAGAATGATGTAGCCTTCGGGACTTCACGGACTTCTTGAGAAGAATAATCCGTCATTGAAAGAGCTCATATAGATAGTTCAGACAGTCAGACATGTTCAGATATATAGATCTTAGTGCTTCAATGTGTTTTTGAAGCCCATGCTGGCCCCCACGGAACCGTGTGTTCGTCGGAGAGAGAGCCTGCGCAGCTTGAGATTGACCCCCAAATCAGCTGCCGAAATCCACCGAGAGGCTCTCCTCGACATCGGAGGCGAGCCGAACTCGCGGACGCTCCGCGGGTGGGAACGAACACGAAGAACCCGCCGCCGCTCGTAGAAAGGCCTTTTTGTGGGTGTGACGGGTCATGAGTGGTATTGTTTGGACAGAGGGAGACCCCTCCAAGTTGAGCTCTCAGTTTTCGTGAAGCCCAGAATTGCTTGTTGTTTTTTTCATGTCAACTGATGACAACTGCACAAGGGGTCTTCCTCTCTTCCTAGTGGGTCTTCCGTGGGTGTTCCCAGAATTGGTTGTTCCTCTCTTCCATTTGATGTGAACGGAGGAAGCCCAGCTGCACCGCAACACGCCGGAGGAAGCCCAGCTTTGGCTTGACCGCGCATCCGGACCACGCTCTGGAGGAGATGGATCGGAGCGGAAGAACGGAGCTTGAAGCACCAGAGCCGTTGGTGCTTTTGTGACCCAAAAGGATGTTGAGGCGATGTGGATGTTCGCATCCAATGTATAGCTCAAAGGGTTCAACACACTCTTGCTTTGAAGATGTCCAGGCTGTGCTTTTGCACTGGCTCCAATAGTAACAATCAGTATACTGTCTCATTTGCAACATTCCGTTCCAAATAGAAATGCAATCTGATGGAAGCAGAGGTTTTGGAGAACAAAAAACGCAGCACAGATCATGGGAATTGACCGTGGGATTTACCATGGGAATTGACGATGTCCAAAAACATGTTGTGACCTCTGCGGTGGGCCCAGAGATTGGCCCTGGACCAAGGGCCTCCGCTTCGGGAGGGTCTGTCGCGTGGCGACTTGGAAAAGCTAGAAAGATCGAAAAACACCAAATGTTGATGTGGTGTGTGTTCGTGTATGTATAGTATAAAATAACATAATATACACCCCCAGAACTTACGAGGAAGTAAATCCAGGCGAGGACGCTGTTTACGAGGAAGTTGGTGACCATGTAAAATCCCCCCGGGAACAGACCACAGACAGGTAAGCCCAATCAGCAAACGAGGAAGGCTAAAAAATGCAATGCTCACTACCGAGGAAGCCGAGCGCCCCTGCATCCTCGGGGATCCGTGGAAAATTACCAGGGAGATACACTTCCAGGTAAGCCAGGGTTGCTTTAGATTTTCATAGGTTGGGAGCTAATCTAACGAGGAATTTAAACAACCTCTCTCTCTTGATCCCGTTTAACGAGGAAGTTTACCAAATTATCACAAAAACTGGTAGGCTTCATTGTTTGCTAGATGCTTCTGGACATTCTAGTTTTTGCACTGACAAACGAGGAAGTCGAGCAAGTCTAGCAAGTTTAGCATGTCAAACTTACGAGGAAGAAGTCTTACCCAACACAAAAATATAACATGCAGACCCTACAGTAAAATGCTAAACGCGGAATATTATAGGAAAACTACTTCCTCGTAAGTTCTGGAGAGAGTATATATATATATATATGCTACCCCCCAAAAAAGAAAAAACAACGTTTTCAGACAAATTTCTTGCTTGTATGTGAGAGTTGTCTTTTCTGTAGGTGGTCCATCCCGTCCACATTCATTTATTTTTGGCCGCAAGGAAGTACAATTTAATTTTAAACAACTCTTGACCACCAATTTTAATCTATATTAATTGGTGGGGCTATCGGCTAGCATATATTTCTATGTTGGATGGCTTTTATATTATAGAAGTTTTATCATGTTAAATATAAAAGCCATTAAATATGTTGACCATTAATTTCCTCCACAAGCATTCTTCATTACCAAACAAAAAGGCTGCCGTCAATAAATTAATGGTCAACCAATAATAATAAAATAGTAGCCTAGCAATTGACCGGGCATTAATATTTAAATAGAATAATGCCCTCATGATTATAGATTAAAAGAAATAGATTAAAAGAAATAGATTTAAAGAATGAAACGATATAAAATTCATGGGCATCATGCAAGAACCACCAAATAAAAATAAATAAATGGTGGGCATTCTATCTTTATAGTTCTAGAAAATACCATGGCTTCTTGGATGATTTGTTCCTTGGCAGTTAAGGGTCAATAATTCTTTGTAATAGACGGTTATCCGTAGAATCCATTAACTGCCATATCTTTCATTATTCGTTCATTCCCTTTATTTTATTCTCCATTAAAATACAGAAATACAGGATCATTCACTCAATGAGACCATTTTTCTTTATATTAAATGGACGGTCAATGGCTAGTTCTTTATATTTTATGGATCATGCACCATTATTTTATTATTCGTGGCCCTTTAAAATAATGGTGCATAAGATATAGATAAATAGGCTTAGAATTTTCTTTATAATAAATGACTTCTCTATAAAATTCTAAGCCAAATATTAAGATGTAGAAGCCTAGCCGATAACCTGCCTTTCATAATTGAATAAAAGAAAGGCATCATGAAAATCATGAAATATAAAGGAATGAAACACATGAATGATCACCATTAAATTTAAGGGAGAATAAGTGAATAAGATATATGTTTAATGGTGAGAATGAATAATAGAATGAATCCATAAGATACAGATAAGAATATAAAAATAATGTAATGTCAAGATACGACCATAAGATAGAAAGTTGTCTACAGGAAATTGACCACCTATCCAAATAAAAGAAAAAATAAGAAGAAACCGAAAGCACAGATAAAAACCATTAAATCTATTGGTGAACAATGTTATAAAATAGAATGAAAGACTTCTCATAAAGTAAAATAAGATGCAGATATAAGTAAATAATATAATGAATCCTGCATTTTTGTTTTGCACAGCTTTTAACATAGCATATTGGCATAAGAAATACCATTCAGGTACTAGATGTAAAGGGTAAGTAATCCACATGCTTCTAATGCATTATCTGGATGTGAGAAAGAAGAGAAACCGAAATGACTTTGAAGAAGATATAGATAGAGAATAAATATCTGTCCATAGAAATCTTTACTAATAATGAAAGGGAAAAATACTATATTACTATTAGTGGAATTACTTAATGGATTATTAGACGATAGAAAATGTAGATTTACAATATGATAAAGAAGAAAACCACAAAGAAGAAATGGAAATAGAACATGGAAGACAAAGAACCTCTTCAATGTAAGATTGTAAACATAATCTCCTCCACAAAGCCATTCTACAAAAGATGGAAATGGATGTAATAAATTTGTAATTACTGTAACACCCCATAAACTCATTTGTCCTAAAGGTAAGACATAACCCACAAATGCTGTTGCCATTAATAAGAAGATCATAATAATTCCAGAAAACCAAGTATTGGCATTATGGGGCCTCTGGGGGGTGCATAAATTTTTGATGTTTTTGAGCCTGCCGAGGAATTTGCAATTTTTTTATATACCCCACCTTGCAAAAACACTTGCAGGCTCAAAAAAAAATCAAAAAAGAATCAACACCCCATAATCACAAAACCCTGGCAGGCTCAAAAAAAAAACACAAAAGCTTTGGCATCTATGGGGGCTTTGGGGGGTGCATAAATTTTTGATTTTTTTGAGCCTGCCAAGGACTTTGCTATTTTTGATATACCCCACCTTGCAAAAACACTGGCAGGCTCAAAAAAGTCAAACATTTATACACCCCCCAGACCCCCCATAGATCCTAAAAATTGTGATTTTTTGAGCCTGCCAGGGTTTTGTGACTAGTGCCTTTGGATTTTTTTGATTTTTTTGAGCCTGCCAGTGTTGTTTTTTCAATTTTTGGTCTACCCCACCTTGCAAAAACGCTGGCAGGCTCAAAAAAACATAAAAATTTGTTTTTTTTTCTTTGTTGTTTTTTTTGAGCCTGCCAGGGTTTTGTGACTATGGCCTTTTGATTTTTTGTTTTTTTGAGCCTGCCAGTGTTTTTGCAATGTTTGGTCTACCCCACTTTGCAAAAATGCTGGCAGGCTCAAAAAAATCAAAAATTTATACCACCAGTATATAGTTTATATTAAATATATATTTGATCAGATGTAGGAGGATGTTCATTTAGCATTTTGATCAGACGCCATATGCACATTGCAGATTCAGATTTGTTGGTACCCCCCACCTCCCCTATTTGTCTGAAAGTGTGTTTTTTTCTTTTTTTCGAGGGGGTACCATGTAATGTGAGTGAATTGAATGACTTGAGTTCAATCATCAGAAGGTCTGTGAAATTCTGCAAGGGGGGGCCTTCCATGGACTTCTTGTTTGCATCGCACGAAGGAGAAATCACCTGTGGCAAGTTTGGATCATAAAGTTCACGCTTCGCCTTGCTCTAAGATCATCGGACTTGACAAGGACGTGTTAGTTGTAGCAGATACAGTATATTGGTTTTGGTGATAGGAGATGGTACAAGGACGAACAGCTGTGATTCTTTCTGTTGCATCACTTTGCAGAGAGCCACATCGACTATTGTGGCACCACTGCACACCTGAAGCCAGCAGCTGCTGTTGTGTTTGTGATCATTCTTATCCTCAGATTGCGGTACACCTGGAATTTACTGAAGCGATCACAAGTAAAAAGGAAGTCAGAGGATGTGAGAGGTGTACGAAAAGGAAGGCTGTTCCTTTGGAAGCCGTTGGGGCTCGTCACTCCTCCAACTCATCCCAAGGCCAGCCTCGAGCATCGAACAGGCTGGTGCCATGTGCCTGTTGGGCGTGGTTGGTAGCTACATATTATTGTGAGCGCACCAGAACAACAGGCACCAGAAGCGCTATCAGCTCTTACACCAGCCGGCAGATCGCCTGGAAAGCTGTTTGTGAGGTTTGAGTTTTCAGAGAAAGTCGTGCTGCAACTGATGTGTAGATGTTTGCAGTAGAGCTTCACCAAGGCTCTTTGAAGCTTCCAATTAACAATCGACTCCACGATGAGGGCTTTGGTGGCTTTGCCTCCTCCCTAGGCTTTTGTTCGGAAGACCAACCCCCGCAGACCGCTTCACTTCTCAGGAAAATGTCACGCAGTGGGCGAAGAAAGACACTGGGACGCTCCTTCTCCGCGAGAGCGGTAAACCGCTGTCTCTCTAGACTCGCCACTGCTTGGTGGGCTCCCTTAAGGGATCTGCCACTGCCCATCGGGGTGCCATCGTGTCGTGCCGAATCCACCAAACATTCCCATCGAATCCACGGAAACTGTGCCGGAACAATCGACCAAAGAATCGGGAGTCATATGAGTCAGGAGTCATTCGGCAAGACACGACGTAAACACGATGGGTTTGACCTGCAAAACAGAACATAACCTCGTAGGAATACAAAAACCTATATTCGTGCTCCAAACGGAGCCCTGAATTGGCGGGACGTGTCGCCTCAACTTTTATGGACGGTGTGGTCTCCCAAAGGGGGTGCTACACCGTAGGCAGCAGAAAAGGATTCGAACTCCAAGACCTGAGGACATCGAGCCCGACCTGCAAAACCTTGGAAGGATATCTTGGAAGGATGTTGTATGTGTGTGTGTGTTTTTAATGTATTTATTTCAAAACACGACTTTGGTTGACGACTTCTAGTCTGAAGAGATCATGTGATATCATGCGATCTCTGACCGCAACACACATCTCCGACGTCTGACGGACAGGTGTGTTTGCGTTGCTGGCCACATTGGCCAAAAACCGCTCGTGCTCAGGACAGTGGTTGGAATCGCAGAAACGAAAAACATCTGAGTTGCCGCACTGGACATGTCGCAAGGAATCTCAAGAAGCACACAGATCTTGTATTTCTTGGTCTTCGTGACAAGGCTCGAGAGTCTAGTTTCCGCTCGTTCGATGTCGCTTTCGTGTGACGGGTGATGACAGCCACATTGTGGATAAAAAGGTATCTGGATTTGATAGCCGGGCGCCCCAGTGCAAACATTCATTTCCACTACCTGGACCGCCGGCGTTGTTTGCGTAGCAACCGTGCTAAAGTTCAGATGTTTCTCGGCGCGTTTAAGGACGAGCAACAAGCATTCTATTTGGTCTTCTTCAAGATAACGTGCAACAGCTTGCGATTGCAAGCCGAACTGATGCAGTCACTAGTTCACATTCCTGAGGTACATTGTGACCTCCATTATCGTCCTGGCTGTTTTCTACAAGCTTGATGCCACATATGAGCGCCAGAAGGCCGGAATTTCCGGTGACATCATGATACATCAAGTCATGTTCAGCACCAGGAACTTCCCCTTTGAGCGAGTTCACCGCTAGGATACCTGCAGTTTGGCTGTCATTTTGGTGCCCTGTTTCCTTGGTGCCTTTCTTCTGGCCAAGACGTGCGCCCCAGACCTTCCGTCAGTCCATTTCGTCGGCCAGACCGTCCTCTGGGAACACGGGTGGCGCGACCAGCGCGACTGGCGCGACCGAGGTATCAACTGGTGGATATTTTGTGGACCTTCTCACAATTCTGTGAAGGCTTTGCCATGGTGAAGAACTCAGAGCAGACGTTTTTTTCACCAATCACCGGTCGAGTTCAGACCAATTTGTGGTCATGACTGAGAGATACTGAGAGTTTCAGTGCTGCACAAGAACCAGTTCAGCTCAGGTCCCACAGTACGTCTTTTGCTACAGAGATCGGATGGCAAAGGCTCGGCTTGGGAGTGGGACATGTGATGATAGTAATAAGCTGTTGCTTCTATAGAAAGGATGAGAAAGGATCAAGTTGGTTAATTTGGTTCACCGGCTGAGTTGACCAGGTTGCTTTCCGACTGCATGTTCGTCAGTTTTGTAACAGTTTTGTGACTCAGGACATTGGGGTGACCTTTTACGTTTTATCGATGGGTCTGAAGCCGAGCCGCTTCTTTGCGACACTCTTTTGGAAGTCGAAAATTCAATGTTTCTTCCTGCTCAGGTGCCTATCGATGCTTTTACGCTGCAAACTGGATATACAAGAAGGTTCAATCTCGACATTTGGCTTGCAGAGTGTGGAAGCTCTCTTGTGGCAGATGTTCCATTGCTTTCCTTATGCACGGCACGTTTTTTCTACATACAACCACTTTGTATGTTGTGTTCATGTTTAAGCATTCTTTGCAGCACCTTGCAGCACGTCGCACGCGGTCGCAGCTTTCGGATGTAGGAAGATAGGATTCAAAAGTGCAGGACAATGCGTTCCACTCTCAAACACTTTGGAGATGCCTCCGTTGGGAGATGATGCTGACAGCATGACAGCGCCATTTTCCAAACAACGAAATGGATATATTTATTACATAAACTTACTTAAACCATCCAGCCACTGGAAGTTGATGCTTTGGATATCTTTAGATACGACGTCTCCCTTTCCAACCGCCCGGCGCGTTCTCTCGCCCCATGAGGCGGAATCTTTCGTACCGCTCGTGGTGTGTGTTTTGGTGTGTCAGAGCATGTCGGTTTAGGATGAAAGGGGCCAACTGGCACTGGGGAGTGCAACAGTCACACTAGTACGGGGGAGCGGCGATTCCTCGGGCGCCTTCGGCCGGGTGCGCTCGCGCCGCCAGGGCTCGAGGCTCCAAACGAGTGAACCCCACGGCCCGCGAGCGGCGCTCGGGCGGCCACGTGCCTCGATGGCACGTCAGTCGACCGGACCGTCGTAGTGCGTGGACCGCGTGGATCACCGCGTGGAGCACCGAGTGAATGAACAGCATGGGTCAATTGGAATTGGTTGAAGGATGTTAAAAGGGAAATTGATAATACAGGAAACTATGGTTGTCACCTCCAAAGCTATGGGTTTCCCCGTAGATGGTCCCTTGAACAGGATCACTGACCTGGTGAAACACCCAGACGTGTGCGACCGCACCCAGGTGGCCGAGAGCACTTGTGGCTCGCTGTCGGACTACGTGAAAGCCTCTTGGGCGAAGTGAAAAAACATCGAGACTTCGATGCCTTCGACTTCGGTGGTCCAACTTCGGGGCTAGTCCACGTGGACTGCAGGACGGAATGAGACGACCTACCCCCTGGTCGGAACGGATGAACGCCGGCTGAGGTGCGCACGGTGGGCCGGGGAAGCTTTGGCGAAGCTTTGTTGGTCAAGCACCGGACGACCGGACAGCTGTCCGTCCTGAAGCGTGTGCGCTTGGAGGTGGGAGACGATGGACGGCTGGGACCTGGGCCGTATCTTGGTGGTTTGGGGTGTGGTACTGGACTGGAAACGCTCGTGTGCTGGTCGCATGTTCTTCGCCGCTTAGCGGAGCTGATTTGTGATGCTGGTCCGCTTTGGTCCGCTTTGGTCCGCTGATTTCTGCAGGTGGTCGGAAGCGGCAGCGACGCGGTGGCAGCGGCCGAGAGCGCCGCCCGAGAAGCTCAAGTCCTGCATCAGCTTCGGCATCCACACATCGTGGCTTCGACGTCGTTCCTTCCGTCGTCGGTGTCGGTGGGGTGGGGCACCGTCGAGACGGTTCGTTGGAGGTCGGCACAGTGGCCACCGGCATCGTGGTTTCATGCGCCCCGAGTGGTTGTTGTTGCGGAGTCCCCAAACATGAGCCCCAAAACCGTCCAACTTCAAGACGCTTGAACGTCCGAATAGAACGGTCTCATTCACATGTAGCTTGCGAGGAACTTCCATGTTCCAGCTAGCTCGGGCATACACCGCGCAAGCAAAAACGCACGAAAAAGTGCAAAACCTATTTCATCGCAAGCTCGCGCAAGCAAATGTTGAAGATAAGCCCCTGCGCAAGCTCCCACTGCGGTCGCATAAGCATCGCGCAAGGTTTTCATGCAAGAGTCTATAATTTCCTTGTAAATGATGAGGTGTTGAACACCGCTCTGGAAAAAGCTCACAGCGAGCAGGGTGTCCAGTCAGCGTGTCCAGCCAAGCTTTCACTTTTCCTGGTTCCCGGGGTCCATTTCGTCCATGACACGTGGTCCATGGACCGCCCAGGTGGAGTTTTTGGCCGCCTTCGTGGACAGTTCACGGGACTCCAGTGGCAGCACCTTATGCCTGCTGATGGCCTTTTTCGAAGGCGGGAGGTTTGACGAGGGGAGGGCTGGAGTAAAGTCTGGTGTTTTTCAGTGGGAGGTTTTTGGAGGGTTAAGAATGGTAAACTCCGGTGATGATGGGCTGCAAACAGAAGTTGTTGGCATTGGACAGAAGCGCCTTGGGCAGTCTAGGGGCGGGAGAAGCGGTCCTTCTGCGGTTGTCCGGACTTGGCATTGGCAACATTGCAAAACGTGCGCTAAAGCGCTGATGTCAGTTCCCGCGTAGGTGGTGATCTTCAGCATCGGCTGCAGAAAGTGCGACAGGCTGAGTATAGCCAAAGACATCGACATTGGATCATACGTTATATGTCATAACTATGTCGGTATATGTCGGTTATATAAGTTTCTATGAGTTCTATAGTACATGGTTCTACAGGTTCTTTATCTCTATGCCTATTGTATGACTGTGTGTATGTAACACATACACAATGTCATATTTCACGTTGATGTATAGACTGGAGAAGACAGAGGATGGCATGTCCTGCCTTGTGCATTCCTTTGGAGGAGTGTCGGAGGCTACAAGAGCCACCTGCACTTCGTTGGTTTGACGAGCTCTGCAGCGCGCTGGCCTATGTGCATCAGCACCATGCTCCCAAGCCATGAAATCTGGACAGAGCGAAGAGAGCTGAGCCACACATCACGAGTGATGGATTCAGAGGGTTCAGTTGCAGTCATGTTTTTCAGCGTATGATTGTGGACCGGAATTGAACAACACACCGCTCGGGTTCCTGCTATATGAGAAAGCATGAACGAGACACGTCTAGGATCGATGTGTGCCCATGGGTGATAGATGATGATTTTCTTTGATGTCATTCTTGAAAGGATCAATTTTTTGGGGGGATGTGCGCAGGCGTTTTGGGCACTTGGTCACATCCTCAAAAGACCTAAGAGCCTTTTAGATAAGGCTAGCACCCCTGATTTTGTGGGCTGAAGCATTTTTGTGAGATCGTCTTGGTGGTAAGCACGCAGTGTTGGTGATAAGAGCAGTAGCCAGTGGCGCTGGGAGGCTCCAGGTTGTGTGATCAGGTTACAGCAAGCTTTCGGTAGACATGTCAATCATGGGTGCAGCCAGGACACTTCGGCAATGGCGTATTTGAGAGTTCAGCATGCCAAGAAATACTTTCAAGGCATAGCCCATTCAGATACTGCCGCTGCTGCCATCATAACGTGCCCACTGAAATTTGCCTCAGGAAG